TGCCATCATTGCAAAGGGCAGCCAATTTCCCTTTCCACAGCTGCGGAGGCCTGATGGGGACCTTAGCAGCACCGGTGACAATTACGATAAGGGGGTGTCAGCCAGGGGGAGGGGTGCTAAGGTAGGGAGAGAAAGGGGGTAGGCGTAGACTGTGGGGTGGGTTGATGTGGGGGATGGCTGCCTATTGGCCTGCTGATCAGCTGATTGGTGGGCCGGTAGGCAGAATGAAAAAGCCATAGGATGGTGTTTTTTTCATATGGGGATGAATAAAAATGGGGAAATATTCATTGATTCATATTCATTGGGAGTTAAAATTTGGCAAATATGGATCAATGAATATTTGACAAATCGGCTATATTTGTCAAAAAAACCTATCCATTTTTTATATTCGTCCCCATCTCTACATACAATTGAAACACGGAACTTGAGAAGTATGAATTAAGGTAAAGTGGAAAATGTAAAGCAAGAAACAGAGGATTGATACATTTCAGTACATCTTATTAGGGAACGAAAGTGGAATGGAATGGGACATTTTCAAGCATATAATTACAAAATGTTTAACTCTAGAAATGAAAAATTCAGAAGAAATTTAGTGACTATAGTACTGAGGTAAGATGTGGCATAGGCAGTCAGAGGTTATAATACAAGATCTGAACAAATAATATTGATCATAATTCAGAGAAAATAATTCTGAATGAAGCTGTTCAGCACCTGTCACATAGATATAAGGACAACTATTATAATGACTAGCTCAAACAGAAAAAAACATCAAGAGAGGAAAAACAAGAGATGTATTTGAGAAGATTCAGGAAATCAAAAGGAAATTTATGCCTAGGTTAGAATTGCTGAAAGACTGAAAGAGAAGCACACTATCTGACCTGGATCAAATAAAGAGAAGGCTTAAATAGTATACTGAAGATTTATACACAAGAGATAAAAGGATGACAGACTCTTTTGGAGCAGAATGCTATGGCAAAGAACCTACAGTTTTAGAAAGTGAAGTGAAAGTTCCTCTGAAAACATTGTGAAGAAATAAAGCACCTGGAGCAGATACAATACCAAAAGATAAGATGGAGATCCTACTGTTAGAAAGATTGTCAGACCAATTAGAAGGAAACTTACCTGTCCTTGATGGAGTTACATTCCACCAAAGGATCTGGTTCACATATTGGAGGTAATCCTGGACCCAGCACTTTCTAAGGTTGCTCAAATATTGGCTGCACCCAAAAATGTATTTTATTAAGTCTAGTTGATTGCCTAGATGCACCTCTAACTGGGTATGAAATGACTACCAACAGTGGTTCATATATTGGTGATCCTAAAACTAAACTACTGTAATGCTCTCTACACAAGGCTGCCCTTGAAAACCATACAGAAACTGTAGCATGTCCAACATTTGGTGGCCAAACTTATTTCTGAGACTAGTAAATTTGATTATGTATTCTCAACCTTGGCAAACTTTCACTGGCTTCCTGTAAGTTACCATGCTCAATTCAAGATGCTGGTTATGACCATAAAGCTTTTAACAGTTTTGGACCTCAATACTTGTCACAGCATCAGAGAATGTAATTTCTTAGGTGGTATTCTGTGGGCTTAAGTTTTGCCTTATAAACTGCCCAGAGTAGTGTTGGCATGAATAGGGTAGTATATAAATCAAATAAATTCAATGAGGAAAGGAGCCCAATTCAAAGTGCTGGCTTATGTGGCTTGGCTTCAGACTATATGAAGGTTCATATGACCATATGAGCCTTCTCAGGTTTTCAGATCTTCTGGGGAGGCCTTTTTCTTGGTTACACTATTTTTCCAAGCTTATTTGGTAAGGAAACAAGAGAGGGCCTTTTCAGTGGCTGCTCCCAGGCTGCTCCCGTCTTGGGTCCTATATGGGAAGGAAGGTGGCATATACATACGTACATACATACATACAATTTCAAGCCATAGCGACTGAAATAGTTCTTCCTAAGAGCAATATGCCAACAAACAATGGAAAACAAAACAATAGTTTATGTTCAATATACATTCTAGTCCTCAAGAAAGGAGATACCAAGGAGTTCAGTAACTACAGGACC